TGGCCACACGTGTCACCCACTGATGGCCAGGGTGACTGGGCTGACCTGGCTGGCTGCACAGGCCCCTCACCGCTCCCTATGCGTCCCTCCTGGAGCTGTGGGCTCCATTGGAGAGGGCGACCTTCCCCAAATAGAAAGGACATTCCTTGGTCAAGCCTGCACATGAGCAGCTATGCTCCCTTACTGGCACCTCCCCACTAGCTCTGCAGGCCTGTTTGTGGGAGATCGCAGGGTTGTCAGGCTTCAGGAGCCCACTCTCACCCAAGTGGGGAGCTGCCAGGGGCAATCTGCTTGTCTTTAGGAAAAAAAGAGAAAAACAACATATTCAAAAACTGGAAACGCTGTAACATCACAACTAGGTATATCATGGTATATCACTCGATGGAATTCTACTCAGCAGTAAAAAGGAACAAAGCACTTGACAAGCAACAGGGTCATCTCAAAAACATTGAGTAGGGTATGAATCCCACACAAAAGGCTGCTCCTGGGGGCCTCCCTGGTGGCACAAGGGTTAGGATGCAACCTATGAAGCTAGCCGCAGCCACTGTAGCACAAGTTCGATTCCTGGCTAGCCAGGGAGAAACCCACATGGCGCAGCAGACCTCTCCTGACTTGCCCGCTGCTCCCCTCAGCAGTGTACTTTGGTCAATCTGCCTGTTCTGTTCCCCACTCTGTCTCTGGTGAATCCTCTCACCCCCCAGGCCTCTGGCCTGTACCCCAGCTCTTCTATGCATAAATAAATAAATCTTAAAAAAAAAAAGACTGCTCCTGAATAATTCTATCCAGAGGGAATTCTAGAAAATTCTAGACAGGGATAGGAAGCAGATCATTGACACTCTGTGGGCGGGATGGGTGGATGGAAGAGTTCTAAAACCAGTAGCGTGTGAAGCCTCCACTAGAAATGGGTGGATTTTATAAGATGAAGTAAACCTCAGTAAAGCTATGAAATAATTATACCAAGGGGGCAGAAGAGGAGGAGGAGGACGAGGAGGAGGCGTCTTCCAAGCCTTCCACACCTCCTCCTGGGCAAGCGGGCTTGGAAACCCGTAAGTGCCTTGCAGTCCTGCTATTTGACCTCTTGGCCTCCAAAGAGTCTCCTGTAAAAGGCTGACTGAGCACAGATGCAGCCATCACAATCCTGCCGTCAGGACTGGGGTTCAGACACATTGGTCTCTGGGTGAAGTTGGTTTTGGAGAGGTTGGGTTGGGAGAGCAGAGTCCTTGGGTTCGCTCTGGGAAAAGCTCCCCCAGAGCTCCCCTTTCAGCTGCACTGGCACGTTTCCCAGGCGAGTTTCTCCACGAGGCAGAGGCGTTAGTTATATCCGAAAGGGCAGGTTGATTATAAAAGGGAGGAAAGGGTAAAGAATGCTTGCACAGACACAAGCCGGCAGGAAGAGCTGCCCGGGAGAGGGACAGGTTTACTAAACGAGAGGCCTGCATAGTGCCAGGTGGGCGGCGTCGGGAGAGCTGCCTCTGCCGCTCTGCAAAGGGAGGAGGTCGGTAGGGAGAACACCGGCTTGGTCACAGGTCGTAGGCGGGCAGGAGGGCTGCTGCCCTGCAAAGGGCGAAGGTTGATGATGGGGAGCACCTGCGCAGGCACAGGCGGGCAGGAGAGGTGCCCCTTGCCAGGGCACAGATTGCACTGATAAGGTCTTCTCTTGGGGAGGGCTCACTCCTTTGTGGAACTGTTAGTGTTTGGTAACCTAATTCCAAACGTGAGGGTGTGGCTAGGTTGTTTTGTAAGGACAGTGATTCTCCATGTCCCACCTCTGGCTGTGCCTCCTGCTACTCTGCAGTGGTCTGACACTTGCTATAGGTTGGCGCCTCAGGATTTTTTATTTCTGTAGCTGGTTTAACAACTCTCTTGATCACTTCTATCTCCTCCTCCAGCTCCAGCACTGTGTGAGCCAGGTTTCTGGTTTTGTGGTGCCTCCTTTCCAACTTTTCTACTCTCACCCTCCATCACAGGGAACACGAATCTACACTTGCCCTGAATTCTGGCGCCGAGGTGCCTCAGGCCTTGGGACGGGCTGAATTTTTGCACCCAATTCGTGCTTGGAGGGGCCCATACCAGAGCCCTGGCTGATCCCACATCTGAGCACCACTGATGTCTAACACATATTGGCTCATTAACAAAGCCTCTGGTGTGGATCCCAGATAAAAAGAGCTGAAGCATTTATAATAGCTGACTCTGGAGGGTGGGCTTTTTAATGTTTTTTAACCGTATATTCTAAAAAATAGACAAGTCTTCAAAAACATTGTGCAATAGGATAATGAACTTTAGACCTTTAGTACAGATTCATCTAGATGCTCCAGTTGTTAACATTTTAATATATATTCATCTATATGTATCTAATATATAGAGACCTATTTTTTTTATATTCAAAAGGACAGTTTTATCATGAAAAGGGAAGGGAAGTCAATGACGCTTGCACAGACACAAATGAGCAGATGACCTGCCCCTGAAAGGGACAGGTCTGTTAAGAGAGGCCTGCCTGGTCACAGGCAGGCAGCCTCGGGAGAACTACCTCTGATGCTTTGCAAAGGGAGGAGGATGGTGAAGAGAAACACCTTCATAGTCACGGGGCAGGAGATTGCTGCCAGAGACCTATTTTTACTGACTCATCAAAGCTAATATTATTCTAAATAATATCACACCTAAATAATCCAGAGTATATCTCCTAAAAATGAAGATATTGTCTTACATAATCTCAGGAATGTCAACAAATTCAGTAAATTAATATCAGTACAATATTGTTGTTGAATATATTGTCCGATTCATGTTGTGTCTCTTGTCCCAACAATATCCTTTATAAAGCTCCCTTCAAGCTTGACTCCACTCCCAGCATAAGCAACACATTTGATTGTCAAATCTTTCTAATCCCCTATCATCTGGTGCATTTCCTCAGCCTTTCTTTGTCACAGCAAGAACACATTTGAAGAGGACATTGCTTTGTGGAAGACCCTTCAATTTGGCTTATCTGATTGTTTCCTTGAGATTATTCTGGTTACACATTTGGGGCCAAACAAACACAACAGGGATAGATGATTTCCCCTTGGGGCTTCCCATTCAAGTGATGCCTTTCCTCCTGTTATCAGCGTTGAGAACTTTGCATACTTGCCGTGGTCTTTAACATTGTGATGTCTAGAACAGTCTCCCCCAGCAAAGGTACTTTTCCTCCTATATAATTAATAATGCACCTGTAGGGAGATACTGGGGGCCCCAGAATTCCTTCCCCAGATATCCTGCTCCCAGACTAACTCCCCCAAAAGAATCAACGAATGGGGACAAACCCAGCTGCACAGGCACCTGGTTCATCTACACAATCCCAAGAAACCCTAAAAGCAACCCTATAAGCAGCTCTTTTAAACAGATTTGATGTTTTAAGAACCAAAAATATAGGGGAGAATTTATGATCTATTTGTAAATGATTAACCACAGCTCAGCAGAATGCAGAGCACGGTGGGCAAACCTCATCTGTTTATTCAATATATTAATGAGTATTATAAATATATGTATTCAATTTATTTGATTTGCTGAGCTCACCGTGGAATCAGCCCAGCCAGACTTTCTAGGTCACAAGTTTCCACAATGGCAGCCTCAAACCAGGAACTCTCACCAACAAATAACAGGGTGATTCCAACTTTTGCCCCATGACTGGAATTTATCTCAGGTGAATGTATTTCTCCTTTAAGACTGATGCCAAGAAGATGGAGAATGGATGCAAGGAATCAGAATGGAGCCCCCCTCTTTGCCCTGCCCCCCCACCGTCCCCAAGCCAGGGACCCTCTTAAATCCACAGGGTTCCATTTTCTCTCCTGGGTCTTATTGACATCAACAACATTACACAGATGAGTGGCTCATGAAAGGAGAGAAATCACACCACAATCCCGTGACCCTTTCCTGCCCTGGCCCGCAGGCAGCCCTTTCTCACAGGCTCTAATTCTGTACGTCAGTACAGTCAGAGTCCCCGCAGGAACCCAGTCGCAAATGGAATCCTGGAAAGAATTTGACAAAGTCTCTGTTTACAGAGTTGTCTGCACGGTTCGTGGACACAGGAGGGAGGGTGAAGCCCCCAGAGGTGGTAACAATAGCCCAGGCAAGGGCGAGATGAGGAGGGCGGGAAGAAGTGGTTTTTCTGAATTTGGTGCCAACTGGAGCCAGAGAGGAGAGCTGAGGCCGCTGCCCCAGCGGGGAGATGTGGGGCCTGGCCTCTCTCTTCTCTGCTCGCTGCTTTCTCTTTGCTCTCTCCTGATCTCTTCTCATTGGCCAAACCCTTAGGAAGCTGTATGGTAAGTGAATATGTAGTGAAGCTGTATGGTAAGTGCAGGATGATCACCTGCACTCGGGGACCTGCAAATGACGGTACTGAGGTGTTAGTTTCCCAATGCTTTTCACACCACTAGCTTCTGTGCTTGTCACCTGTAGCCTTGATCATGTTAATGCAGAAGGTGTGTGCAAGCATGGGCGCCAGACACATGTGTCTGATTGTGGACACCTGAGTATGGGTGCGCACGCATGCGTTGGTGTGCACACCTGAGCCTAGAGGCCAGGGCTGGCAGGGTGGCATCACTCTCAGACAGGAGCACGGCTATGAGAGGACAAGTGACTACAGAAGAAGTAAGACCACAAGAGAGCCCAGAGAAAAAGTAAAGATTCCTGAGGGGTTGCCTGCCTGCCTCCTAGCACCCCTCCTAGCCTGGCCCATGCCTGCCTCCCTGCATGCCAGCCTCCCTGCCTGGTGTGCCTGTGTACCTGGTTCCCTGAGAACATTAAAGCCTGAAAACCTGAGGTCTCCAGGACTCTCTGTTATCTGTCTGCCTGAATCAATAGAGAACCTACCCTGTTCTTGCTGGCACTAGAGAACCCAAAGGGGAAGGGACCCAGAAAATGCATCTGCAGACGTCAGCCCCTATGGCACAGAGCAGGGCTGAGAAGAGCAGAAGAGGGGGTGAAGGAGAGTAACTGGAGGGTGGTGACGCCTTTCCTGTGTTTCACAGACATGCAAAGTGGACTGGGGAGCAGCATACGCCATCAACTGGAACAACTTGGGAGCCAACAGGTTCTGCTGAGCGAGGATGATCACCTGCACTCGGGGACCTGCAAATGACGGTACTGAGGTGTTAGTTTCCCAGTGGCGGTGTCAGAGGGATAGGCTGTGAGGGCAGTGTTATGTCTTGGGGACCCAGTGTCACTAAGAAGAATTATAGTGGTGCTCTTATTTTGGGGGGCCTTTTTTTCAATTTTTAAAAATTAAACTTGACAACTATTTACATGTCTCCACACGCATTACTCAGCCTTTCCTGCCAATGTTCTTCTCCCCAGCCCCTCACCCCTTGCCCCTGTTCCCTCTGATAACCAGTAATTTCTTCACTAAGTCTAAGATTTGTTTTTGCTGAATTTTGCTACTATGCTTTTTCCGTTATTTCTATTTCACAGATAAGTGAAATCATCCGATATCTGTCTTTCACTTTCTGACTTACTTCCCTAGCATCATCACCTCTCTCAAAACCCCACACTGTGCATGATATTCTCAGCCTGCTGTTACAGCGGTGACTGAAACCACGAAAGCAAAGCTGGGAATAATGGGGATTACCGTATTTTACCGCAATTTAAAAAAAAATCAAGCAAGGGCCACCCGTGGTGGCGCAGGCGGTTGAGCACAGCACTGTGAAGCTGTCAGCAGCCTCCGCAGTGTGGGTTCGATCCCAGCCCGCTGTGGAGATCCCCACATGGTGCGGCAGACCTCTCCTGACTCGCCCGCTGCTCCCCTCAGCAGTGTATTTTAGTCAGTCTGCCTGTTCTGCTCCCTGCTCTGTCTCTGGTGAATCCTCTCACCCTTCCGTGCATCTGGTCTATACCCCGGTTCTTTTATGCATGAATAAAATAAATCTTTAAAAAAAAAATCAAGCAAAACGAAACCTCCCCAGCTGCTTCCAAAGCAAATGGACAGCCAGCCATGTCCTGATTTGGGGGCAGGAGCTGCCCACAAGGGGCCCATCTTGCTCCAGTGCCCCCCTCCCATGTGAGGCCTCTACCTGGGGACCTCTGGGCCTAACCATTGAACTGGGCTTCCTCTCCTGGCTCCCAGCAATGTCGGGCCCAGAAGCCCTCTGCTCTCTAGCCTTTCTACCTTTTCTTCCTCCCAAGCTCTCCCCTCCTGGCTTTCCTCCAGTCAGGTCCTCATCCCACCAACCCAGTTGTCCAGTTCAGCTTTCCCCCTCTCAAGCTGGAGTAGGGTGCAAAGGCTTAGCTGCTAGATGAGTCACCCCACCCAGGTTGGGGTGATGACAAATCAGGGTTTGCTCACCCAGATCAGCTCCCTCCCAGCTTACCTTGATATTCTCTGCCGAAAGCTCAGCGGCCACCAAGCCTGAGCCCCACTGCCTTCAGTGCTCTGCCATCACCAAGCTGGTGCGGGCCAACATGGATGCTCAGAGAGCAACTCTGGAGCCAGAGGCCTGGGCCCCACCCTGCTCCACTACATCTCAGCTGTGCAGCTTCAGCGCTCGGTTAACCTCTCTGTGCCTCCCCTACAGTTTTCTGTCACTTAATGACATTCTGGTCCAAGGCAGACCAGGCAGGACAGGGGTCCCAATGGGCTACACCACCCGGCCTCAGTGTGCAGTAGCTGTGCCATCGAGGTCTGTGTAATTACATTCTTTGACTTTCACACAACACGAAGTCACCACCCCACCTGACTATTCTCACGTGTGACACAGTGATGACAGATGGGCGGCTCAGAGGATCACTGTCAGGAAGTGGCGGTGACTGTGCCACACAGACCTTTCTGCCTGTCTGGAGATGCTCTGCCGTCTCTCCACACACACAGGTCTGCATCCCATCCCCCAGTTGTCCCCAGTCAAGGATGAGCTGCTGGAAGCACCACTCCCTTCTCGTTCTCCCTCCCCAGTCACCCAGAGCTTCCCAGCCCTTAGCGTGCCAACTCCAGTTCCATTTTTTCCAGAACTTCCTCCACATCTTTGCCTGGATGGTCAGGAGCACTCCCCATGCCTTTCATCTTGCCCAGGTGAAAATCAGCTTCCAAGATGGAGTACAGGCGCTCTTCCTTATTTACCTTTGTTCTGTGTCCTCCTAAAAATACCAACAAGTGCTGTGGCTGCTGCTGTAGATGCCCTGCCTGGCTTCTCCTGAGAGGTGGGCTGTGCACGAGGGTTGGCCACAGCTCACAGCCGCCCCTTATCCAGAGAAGCACCCTCCAGGCACAGCAGCACAGGGCCCACCCAGGTGGGCACCCCTGCTGCCATGGCGGATGACAGCCAGGCAGACCAAAGGCTGGTCCCTCTGCCCTGAACAGAGCCAGCTCTGCCTGCAGCCCAGCCTGAAGTCTGTCCATCTCCAGTTAGAACCCAACCTGTGCTTAGTTAACCCCCTCTCCCTGCCTTTGCCCTGAGGATCACCTCTCACCACATCCCCCTCAGGCCCTACTTCTAGGGAGCCTGACCTAATACACCAGCTCACGCCCCCCGCCGCAGGCCACCATTGTAAGCACTTCATCTCTGTTAACTCATCCACAAAACAGGCATGAATCGTGAACAACATTTCCGCCTTAGGTAGCTTTCTAACCCCTAATGGCAATGAATTCTTCCTGACTGAGCTGTAGAAGCCCTCACCACTCAGGCTCACAGCTTAGCCACACTCTCTCCTGGTGGAATTCTGGGCTCCCTCTGCTCCCCCACTCTCAGGTCAAGTGGTTTGAGTCCTCAGGTTCTAGGGCAGGCACCTGCCTCAGACCTAGCCAGTCAGAGCATTCGGTGCTTACGGCCACAGTCGACCAGTCAACAGTTCTTCCTAATTCTTCTGAGCCTGTGGGGCAGGGAGCCCTGTCCAGTGCAGAGCTGCCTCACTGGGGAGACGGGGGTCCAGCGCTGGCGCAGCCATCTTGCCCACGGAAGGGAGAGGCTGTCCAAAGTGAAACCATCAGAGAGGAAAGTGGAGCCAGAGCAGCTGGAGAGATGGGTTCCCACAGTTCCCCACTGAGCATGTGATCCCGTCAGCCCGGCCTAAAAAGCCTTCGTTTTTTGGCCAATACAGTTCTCCTTTTGCTTCATCCAGTATGAGTCAGATTTTGGGTTCTCACCGTGAAATTATCCTGACTAATACAGATTGATTTCTTAACAGGATGCTGCAAATGTTTATGGGAACACTATTATGTAACAGGCCCACCCGACTTGGGTTACACTCATTACTTCATACATTTTCAAAACCACTTTGCCAAAACCTCTGGCGGATGGTGGTGACTGGATGTTGTTCACGTAAGTTCTAGAAGAATTTGAAAAAAATGTGTCCACCCATATGTTTTTAGAAGTTTAACGTTTTAAAAGCCAATTTTCCGGCTCTGCTTAAGTGGTTGCAAAGGATGTAATTTCTCCATTTGTACATGTTGACATTTTCAAATCAAACTCTTACATCACTTTTTGAGGGATGAAGTTCCTTTTATGGAAAATGATGAAGTACATCCGTCCCCTTCCCTCGCAGCTAATCACTCATACTGTCCTGTATTTGCACCTCCACATTTGTTAGGAGGGTTCATCTCATGTTAGGTGTTAAGTGTTTTTACCAGGAAAAAGAATAGACAGCCTCTCAGCTCGCTTTAAATGAGCCTGATGGAAACTAGCCCAGTGATTCAATCCCTGTCATCACCGGTGTGCAACGCGGTGGGCAAGCTCTTTAATAGTCAGAATTTTGGCACCATGCCTCCACTCCTTCATCTTCTATTCCTATTCCACATCCCCCTAGCAAATTCTATCCTAATGTGTTATGCTTGAAGATCTTTTGTATATCACCCATCATTTCTCTCCAGTAAAATTATGTAGTTTAACTATGTTCAACTTTTGATGATCATCAGCTTATAAGATTCATATTTTCTTCAATTTGGATTAATTTATAATGAAGACAAGCAAGAGCATACATTTGCTTAAAACAACAAAAATAAATTACACGTTTTGACAATTATTAAACATAAAAAATCATTTAGAAGCACCTTAATGAAGCAGATAATTTTTTATGATAATGTTTATTTTATTACAGTGTTGTAATAAAAATTTTAGCCAAACGAATCGGGTTTTTATATCAATTTTATCCCCGCTTTTCGCATTGAAAGATGTATACCTATGGAGAAATATTCAGCAATTATAAAAAAACGATTCCGCAGCAATTCAGATGGATCTCAAGGGTGTTATGATGACTTTAAAAAAGCCAATTCAATTAGGTCCTCCTCTAATTTTGTTTAAAACAATGTATGGAGGAGCCTCCCTGGTAGCGCAAGGGGTTAAGTGTGAACACTGTCACGCTTTCTCCAGCCACTGCAGCTTGAGTTCAATCCCCGGCCAGGGAGCTGACCCACATGGCACAGCAGACCTCTCCTGTCTCCCTGCTGCTCCCCTCAGCAGTGTATTTCGGTCAGTCTGACTTTTCTGCCCCCCACTCTGTCTGGTGAAACCTCAGGCGCCCACACACACACCTCTGGCCCACCCCAGTCCTTGTATAAATAAACCTTTAAAAAAAAAAAAAAAACAATGCATGGCAAATGACCTGCTTTATCAGGACGTATTATCCTGTTATTAGTTACATTTTCATGACAGGCACAGCTATTTCCATTTGTCCCTTTGTCTGGGTCCCTAGGGAGCCCCCCTAGCTGGGGGACAGGGCACTGAAGTGACACTGAGGGTAGGTGGCCTGGAAGCCTCTTTCTGTAAAGTGAGGAAAGATGGATTAGGAAGCTGACAGATTGAAAACCAGCTCCACGCTTCAGCCACACCCGTTCAGACCAGCTCCGGAGAGAGGGCACAAGTTAGAGAGGGTCTGAAACCATCTCTCGTTGCAATGTTTTCACGACAGTCTCCATCACCCCAGGCACATGTAACCAGAGCCTGTGCAAAGACCCTGTAATTAGTTCTGGTTTTACAGCAGAGGAAAAGAAGCCGAGAGCAGTCAAGTAACTCACCCCAGACCACCCAGAAGGCCTGAGCTGGGAAGGAGACTCAGGGGACTCATTCCCAAGTCCACCTTCCTCCAGCCACGCTGTCCTGTGAGAACAAGTTCCTCCCTTTCCCTTTGTCGTCTCATGAATAGGAAATGACAGTTTGGGG